AGGACATTGTGGCACAGATGTACATTAGCAATTCTGTTCATAAATCTCTTTCCAAACCATCTCTTAGCCAAGTTTCCAGCAACCTTTATCCTAATCTCTCTTGATACACCCTTTCTTCTGCTCTAATTACCTCCCATCGCTCGCCTTTCTTATTTTAATTGAGTTAATAAGACCTTTACAAAACATTGAGACAGTAATAGAATTTGCCTTAGTGGCATTAGAGTATTTCATGTTTTATGTATTTAAGCAGAATTTTTTTTTTTTCCAAAATGTGGCCTGACTGCAGATATGCAGCTATACAAGGCCCAGCAGAAGGTCTACTCATCTTTGCTGGTCCACAGGCACCCTGGTAATACCCGTAGTTAATGGCAGGTTACAGAAGAGCCCACACCTGTCCAGTGCATCAGCAGGGTGACCTCTTCCTGCTTGGCCACAGTAGCAACCGTAAGACTCAAATTCCTCTGGGCATCGCTCAGTTAAGCAGAACAGCATTTCTCCTAGCTGGGGCAGCTCCCTCTTCACTCTTCCACTTCCTCTCTCTTGCAGAAAGGTTAATCGCTCACACACTGTAAAGCAAAAAATGTTATTTGACACATCGTGCTTTCACTGACTGGGGGCTCTCTTGTGATGACAGAAGCATTTTCAAAGCTACCAGAAACTTTTAAAGACAATATTTTATGATTTCCGAATTATTGCTCCAGTCCATGAACTCTTAGAATACTACTGACCAAGACAGCAGAAGGGGGCGGGGGGGGTGGGGGGCAGACGGGAATGTTGAAAGGGAAGAGAGATCCCTATGAAGATACAAGTTACATGTCAAACTGGATTGCACAGAGAGTAATTTTAGAGTAACCATTTGTAGTTAATTTTTCTTCTAAAATATTCAAACCTAGCTGAGTATTCACTAGCTTCAGTCTCAGCTAGTTCGGAAAATAGAGTCCAAACCTCTTGTGCTTGCACACTGATAGCTGGGCAATGACTATATTGTGCTGGAAGGAACAATAACTTTTATTTTTTCATTTGAAATACCTTCCATCTGGCACTAAAGGTGTACAAGCACTAAAGTGTGCATGATTCCTTTATGGTATGCTTGCAACAATTGTCCCAATAAAGCTTGGCTACTGTCACAGGGCAATCAGTAGTAGTATACCTTTCCCAAAGGAAAGATTCTGGATTTTCACTTCAAAAAGAATTGTTTCCTGATTTTACAAACCAGGGAAGACCACTCTGGATTATCACATTCACAATTTTTGACTGCAATTCAGTTAGAGCTGTGACGCTAAACACAGGAGCAATTTGCCTTAATGGTTACTGTTCTGCTGAGGTCTTGGCATCTCTGTGTCCCAGCTCTAATGTCTCTTTGGCTTCACCCACTCAGGAAGAACTGATATTCTGGGAATTATCCCTAAAGTTTGAGAGAAGAGTGTGTTCTGTGTCAGGAAAACAATGTCAAGGGGGGCTCTTTTGGGATTTGGCCGGAGGAAGGACTTGAAGGGCTGCTGGTTCGGTTGGGGGAGAGAGAGGGCAGGCTGCTGTTCTCTGGGCATCCTTCTTGCTCCCATGAGCAATCCCATCTTCCCTTCTGCAGCTCTAGGCTGACTCTCCCAACTTCTTCCAGGGACAGCCCTGGATTACTTCCCCCAGCAGGAAATTCTGCCCATGTGCCTGTTTGGTTGCTTTGCTCACTCATGTTATTTCAAAGAGAACAAAGCCCAGGTTCATGCACTGACATGCACACTCTAAAAGCTGATATATTCTATCGAATTTTCCAATTTGACGGAAGGTTGGGTTGATTTTTCATGTCTGCTCTGTTCCAGTTCTGGACCGCTTCTCTCCATTGGGAAGCCTAGTAAGGTGGATGGAACAATCAGTGAGTGTGGATTTGCAGCAGTGACAGGTCTGAAATGTCTTGGGGTCTCTGTGAACTCTGGGTGGGAGCTGGAACATAATCAGAAAGGGTGAGAAGGTGCCCAACTCTGGCAAGACTTTGGCAAGAGGTCAGAGTGAGGAGCAGGGGAAGTTCCTTTTATTGCTTCTGCTGCTTGTAAAAGAAAGTAACTCAAAGATGTGATTTAAGTGCTGCCTATAAACAAAAGCAGGGGGAAATGTTCACTGAACTCATTTTAGACATTGTACTGTATGAAAAAGATAGTTATAACCTAATCATAAATAGTTTTTGTAAGGGTTAATGACAGCACGTTGATGGAAGAGGCTAAACTGTTGGAAGCTTTTGCAGATAGCTGCAAAAATCCCCTGATGTTCTTGTAAATTCCAATACGTATGTGCTTGTCTAACTGGTTTAGAATAACTATAATCTTTATATGTAATCTATACCTACCTTTTAATATAGAGGTAGCAGAATATGTCATTAGACATAACTGGGCAAAAAAAGGTCACTTACCTTTTCCTTCAGGTTCATGGGGTCCCGTGTCAGACAGCACCAGTCCCAGAGCGATTCCAGAGGAAGCTGTGCTCTGGCCACGCGCTGCAGGGCTTGTCTCTGGAGATGACGTATGCATAGATTAGACTTGCAAAGGTAAACTCTTCTTTCAGTAGTGTGTCCAAAAGTGCATAATCTGAACCACAATCAATTGCTTGTCTTCTAACATTTGGTTAATTCAGAGTTGGAAGACTGTTTATTAATGGTAAGTTAAGCTTTCCTGGTCAGTGTTTGACAGTGAACTGCCCTTTCCAGTGCAGTCAGTGTTGTGCACCCTGTATTCTATACAGTCTGTCCAGATTTAAGAATAAAATAATGTTATTCTACCTGTCTGTGAAAAATGCTGAATCCTCAGACTGCTGGAAACAGGAATAGGGGAGTGCTGTAAATCATAATAGGTGTAATTCAGTTTTTACTTGCCTTTGTCTTTTGTCCTTGCAGATGTGCCTGCAGGAATCTTCTCGGTGGGGACAATTTTGGCTTGCAATGAGTTAGTATCTCCTGGGAATGAGGCTGGCGAGGTGGTTATCTCTCCCACTGGGACCGCAGCTTCCATAAATCCATCCTCTTCTGAATAAGCAGAAAGAGGAAAGTGGAAGAAGACATGGATCAGTAAACAGCAAGATTTTCATTTTAGATAGTGGGTCAGAGTAATATCCTCAGGCATAACTTGTGTGAACTGATGGTCATAGAGAAAAAAATTCAAAATGAAGATTAGAAAAGCAAAGAGTACCCACACTGGTCATTTCTTCATGTTTCTTCACATTTCTTTCCTTTCAGAAGACAAGGTGCTGGTTAAACAGGATCAGTAAAGCTACTGATTTTTTTTTAAATTTTATATATTGCATACTGCAGTAATGAGCTGTGCCAGTTGCCGAAAATCATTATGGGTTACTGATTAGTCAGCCATACTGGGAGATAAAGTGCAGGTGAGAAGTCATTTTCTGAGTAAATTGCTAAAAAAAAAGGTGTCCATTCACATGAGGGTACCAAAACTGATAGCAACATTAGGGAAGGCAGAAAATGATTTGACTGATGCAGAGCTAGGCAGCTGACAGATTTTATTCATTGTAACCACAAGCAAACATTAAGGAGAAAATAAGTGGAGGATGAACAGAAGCAAAATTTTAAGGAAATTCTTTATCCTAAAAATTAAATTGGCATTTATTTTTAGATTACCTGAAGCTTTATTGTTGACTAGAAATGTTTTGTTTAATTTTGGGCTTACTTGACATTTTTTTCTTTCTTTATTAACTTTTGCTTTTTATAAAACTACCTTGTAAATGAAAATACTGTTATCAAATGAAAATCAAATGGTTTCATTTTTTCTAAATATGAAGATGAAGAATGTGGAATTTCAAAAGCAAAATACTTTGAAAATACTAGTGAACATGTTTCTCCACATTTTTAAACCCTTTCCTTTTAAATTCCTTGGCTGAAGTTAAGTGGATTAAACTTAAATTCATTCAGTTTGTTCCTTTGAAGTTCTGTTTTTAGTGTGTATTGAAAATAATCTGTCAAAGGGTAAGAGCATAGATTTTAAAAAAAAGTAAGTACTGCTAAGAACACAAAGAAGACCATGAAAGGTTGCAGAAAGAGAGCAACAGCAGCACACTAGTTCTAATAGCTAGCAAGAGGCACGTTTTGGACCACTTTGTTTGACAGTGATGTGTTGAAATGAAAGCGATTCCTGCTAGATGTAGAAAATAAAACTAGAGTTTGGGAAATTCTGCACTAGGCTAAGAATAGATATTACAAATAAGCTTCCAGGAGCCATGCAGACCTCCAGCACAACACGCGGAGTTTCTGGTACGTGCAAGTTCATGGAGGGGAACATTTGGTGGTACTGACCAGTGCTTGGTACAGGAATGCCCTATTTCTGTACTGGAGTGGGAGACACGGTCCAGACAGTAATCAAGGCAAAAAATGACTACTGTCTACTCTCAGTATTCAGTGTTCCTTGACATTTTTCTGGTGCATTTCAGTCCATCTGAATGATCCTTTCTACAAAAAAGGAGCCACAGAAAACGTCCAAGTCTACCCGGGTGCTCCACTTCTAGCTGTAGCTACTGGTATGGCTGTGCTCAAAGCAATAACAACTGCAAAAGCTAAAGCAGGTTTTAGACTGGGAAAGAATTCTGTGAAGTTCTTTATAATAAAAGATGACACAAAATCAAAATGAATGCTTCTGGCATAGCAGATACTATGAATGTAATTTAAAGGACCAACCATTATCTTGGAAGAACTTATATGAAGAGGTTTTCACAAATGCTTGCAGGAGGAGTGCAAATGAGTGGCTGGAGGCAAGGGACAGCAAATACTTCTCAGTCTGGTTTTATTGTTTGTGTATCTGCTGTCTGACCCTGATCTAAATTTGTTCCTCCAGCAGCCCTGTTGTCACCATGCACAGATTTTTAACTGTGATGCTTTTAGATGACGTATTCCTGTGTCAGCTGAAGGAAAAGGAAAGCTGAGAGTGACTGACCTTTTATCGCAGGGACGGAGGGAGGAGAAGCTGTACCTCTGTGGTCCCTTGTGGTAACTGCACAAAAAACAGAGGCATTGTGGTAGTGACCTACCTGCTCTATTTCTGCAATGCATTTCTACAGTGACTTATACTGAAAACATGATAAAGCTCAACCAGACATCACTATTAGCCTTGTTTTATAAAGACAGTCATCAGGAGAAATGGTTTGCTCGGGGATGTGCAAGTCAGCAGAAGAACTAGGGGTATGATCCAGAAATCCCAAGTTGCAGATGTTTGCGTCTGACACCACAGAGCTTCCTAAACCAAAATCTGTTTTCACCTGGAGGTGAGGGAGGGACTGATTCATCAACAAAAGCGTAATCAGACTCTTACCTCCGGCTTTGGAAGTCCCCAGAACCATATCACTGGGCTCAAAAGAATTCACTGTTGAAGACAGAAAATGTAAACTCAGAAAACAAGTTGCCAGCACAGACTCTTATGAGATGTCAAGCTGCTGAGAAAAGCTTTTTTCCTCAAGCAGGAAGACCCAGGTGTTTCACATACAGACGTTTGCCCGTTTATCTCTGCAGTGCTTTGGTTGTTGTAGACAAAGTGATACTGATAAAATAATCTCATTGCTGCATTCAGATAATGTGTTTTACACTAACAAAGAAACAGCAGAGGCATGAATGAAGTGGCAAATTCAATATTAAATCCATTTGACAGACAAATACAGTAAAGAGAATTAGTTCTAAAATCTCAGTGTTGTGCAGAGAAGGGTGCCACATTCCTCGTGAACACCTCAGGTTTGCCTGCATTGAAAGTCAAGTGCGGACGGACAGCTACAAGCCCAAACACTTCCCTAATCTCTAATTTATTTACCTACATGATAACCTTTTTTCATTCATCATCAGCTATATTTTGATAAATTATAAATATATAAATTATAAAAAAAAGTAATCCCTGCATCCTTCTGTTTGTTGTTAGGGTGTTGTAATGTGAGGAAGAATGTCTTTGCCTCTGAACAAGTTTCTGAGTAGTACTTAGCGTCGGCTTAAGGCAGTTCCCACAGTTGTCAATGGTGAAGTTCCTATGGGCTTAAATGGGGAGACAGCTAGCTGAATGGTAAATGGTTCTCCAAATATCTCCTTCAAAGTCTGACTAGATATGTTGTCTGTGATACATTTTCAGCTTTCTAAAATTTCTAATATGGTTTTTTATTCTCTGAAAATATTTTGAGTCTTAAGATGAACTATGCCTCTTTAGAGAGCACAAGTAATCATTTCTTTGGGAAGTAGAAGATTGCTACAGATGTGCAAATACAGGTGCACTCACTCCTTCAGGAGTTCTCTGTTTTCTATTACCAAGCCTCCCACCAGCAACTAGAAAAATATGAACGCAGAGTGGAGCAGTTAGGCAAGAACAAGAAATACTTGGTAAAAATCCCACCTTGATAGTATAGGAGAGGTATGAAGGAACAACCAGTGCTTACACTCAGCATAAAGCCTTTTCAGATAGGTGCCCCTATGCGTGTGGCATTTTTTTTTAAATGAAAAAAACAGTTGAAGTCTGAAACATTGTTTCTTAAAAAAAAAAAAAAAAGAGAAAAGAAAAAAAAGAAAAAAATCCATATGGTTTTGCATTATTCCATATTCACACTTAGGGTAATGACTTGCTTGGAGAAACACAGAAGAGCACACTACAGATTAAAACCAGGTTCTTAAGTTCTCAAAAAGTGCAACTTTCCACCTCTCCCCATTCCCACAAAACAACCCCTGAGTTTCTGGGAGTTGAGCAGTGGCTTGGTCACGCACGTCCTCTGCACATTGCTTGTGTGCTTGGCAGAGACGGGGTCTCTGTACATGACAGTACGGCTTTGCGTGTGGTCGGGCCACATCACAAGAATGCGTCAGCTAAATCAGGCAGTGGATAGTCTAAGACTGGTCTTCTGGATTTCACTGCTGTACAACCTGGCCCTCACTTACTCAGTGTGCCCTCCCAAAGCCACCCAGGGCTTCGGATGACCTCTCTCCATGACCTCTTGTGTTGTAGAGCACACCATGCAGGTAGGAAGAGAATAGTTCTCTCATACCATGGCAATAAGATTTTGCAAGCATCCATTGCTGAATAAGATAGCTATTGATTGCAGCAGAAAAAAATGAAGATTGTCAGAAGAACCAATTGGTCTGGTGGTTTAGGAACTCACCCAAGAGGCACCAGAATGAAAGGGACTTCAACGGGAATCTCTACGCTGCAAGTAAGTAAACCACCAAACTGCCAGTTCATTTGCAACAAACCATGCTCAACTTTTCCCCATGCTACTGCTTGATCTTGTAAAATTCAATGTCTCTTTAACGTGCAGTTGGCTGTGGGTCCAGTGGTTGGCACCCACACAGCACGTCTCTGCCAGACAGCTCACCTGCTGCAACCTGTGTTCCCAAGCAAAAAAAGAAAAAGTCTGTTAGGATGAAAAGAGTTTTGTCGCAGAGTGCTCATTCTCAGCCCCTGGGAAACTTACTGTAAGCACCAGTTAAGCACATCACATGCACAAATTGAAAAATTGCACCTTCTCATTCAGTCTTGAATTCAGTCACCAAAACATTACATCTACTTTTATATCAGTCTTTTCAGAAGGGCAGAAAGAAAGCAAACAAATTATGCTTGTATTTTATCTTTTCAGTTGCTGTGAGCTGAAAACAGTGCTTCTTGCACTGTAAGTTGCAAACCTTCTTCCATGGATACAGTTGCAGCCTGGGTTTTGTCACTCCCGTGATGAAGGAGCTCTGCAAAAATAAAAGCATTCTTACTCCGGAGAGCGGTGCCTTAGGATGTGTTAGACAGGGTCTAGGCAGAACAGGATCAGAGTCATCAGAATGGAACTTGTTTCTAAATACATTGCTAAGAAGATTTTTGTACAGTTATATGTTATGAATATGGCAAATACAGGCCTCATTAACGATAATTACATAACAGAATTAAAATCCTACCTTAATGTTTATTCACTGCTGACATTAAATTCTAGTTGGCAACATACTGTATAATTTCTCTTCCTTTCATATCTTGACGTCTTGCTAAAACTTGTCTTTGCTTCTCAGAAAGGAATTCATAGCTTCCGAAATACTCATGGCATTTTTCTGAGTATAAACTTATCTTGATTTAATATACTGCAGTCAAAAAATTGCAGAGATAAGGACATACCCTCCATGTGAATTGTTGTCAGCTCTCTCTCGCGGGTTGTTTCTGAAAAGGAGAAAGCTCTGTCATAGACTAAAGTGTGAGAACGGGTGTTGCCACTGTTTCATCTGAATATTACAACAAATCAGGAGTTCATTGAATTTATTCCTATTAAAGCAAAGGTTTAGGCAAATATATCCCTATTTCATTCACATTTTTCTCTGTAATAAAGAAACCATCAAAATCCTTTTCCTAGAAAATTGTCAGGTAGAATTTTTTTTTTTTTTAAAGCCTGAGCTGGACAGAATAGCTGCACAGAAAGATAATATCAGTGAACACTAAATAAAAATGTTTCATTCAAAGGATTTTTTTTCTCCATTAAGAAATGTAATCAGGAGCCTAAAATTAGTGGAGGTATTCAGTGAGCTAGACTTGAGTCTATCTTTATCAGAAGTGGTAAAAGCAGTATGATTTCCCTGTTAGCACCTAACAATTTCCCCGGTATTTATAATGTGTTGGAACTGCCATACTTTATATGAGAGCCATCTGATCCCAGTGAAGGATTACCAGCTTACACAAAATGATTTTTTGGCTTTGATGCAAACCTTTCTGTGGCATTTTCTTCTTTCTTGACCTATTCAAGAGGGGATGCATGCAACCAGGACATAGATGTGTAGATCTGTCCCCAACACTGGGGTGGGTGAATATGAGCCAAAGGACTGGGAAAACTAGCATTGCTTTTGCACGTCTGTCTCAACTTGGGAGTTCAAAGGTCCTCCCCCTGCCATGCTCCGATTGCAATCCATATGAATTAAGTTTTTAATCCAGCCCTGTTCCCACAGGACAGGTATTCAGTCTTACAAGGGTGTAATTTCAGCTACAAAGTACAGATCAGTGTGTGACAATGGAGATAAATAACCCCTTCATCTTTAGAGAGGATTTTTCCTTCCAAGATGGAAACCAAGTAACAAAGTGGGTCTATTTTTGCTTTTCCAGCTAGTTTTTTCATGATTTAAGGGGAGATTTGAGCTGATAATATTTTCAGTTTGGCATTCCTACTAGTGACCTCAGTGGGTCACTAATCACCCCAAGTATCACCCATTCTTTCAGGTCAGCAAGAGCCTCACAGGGTTGGCAAGAGCATCCTGAAAAAAGATAATTCTTTGTATGTAACCAGAATTTCCCTGTTTCAGTTGTGTCTCTTGCCTTTTGTCCTGTCCCTGTGTACCTCCAGGAAGAGTCTGGCGCCATCCTCTCTACACACCCCACTAGGTGTTGAGGACAGCAAAAAGATCTCCCCTGAGCCTCCTCCTCTTTCATCATATGCTCCAGCCCCCTCACCAGCTTGATAACCTCTCCTGGACTTGCACCAGGGTGGAAATTAGTCCACCTTCTTCTCTCTTGATATTCACTTAAGTAGTAGTAAATGGAAAGGACACATGAAACGGGGAATAGGACATACTGCCAGATTTAGTGCAGGAAAGCACCCTGCTACTGCTTCAGTCTTGCTGGGTCGAATCTGATGTCAGCAGAAAATCTGGCAGGAGGAGGCAGTCCGTCAGAACCTTATTATTACCTGTAACCAGAGATGGACAGAAGGAAACATCCAGCCCATTCATGGAAGAGTTAATATGTGCGTTCACAAAGCATTCTAAGGCATCTTTGTCGCAGTTGCAGAGGAGCTGTTCACAGGGATCCCCAGAATCTGGAAATAATAAAATTAAAAAGTGAACAAGTTACTAGTGAAGTATCTTTTCCGCCTTCTGCTTTCTCCTCTCTCTAAAGTTTGTGCCTACATTTTTGAATGCAAACCTATTTATACTGTGCATCTTCACGTTAAACACAGTCGAGTTTCGTAGTCCAACACAGTTTGTTTTCAAAATGCCATCCAATGTAGCCTGGCATGGCTGGCAATAGAATTCTTGCCCGTGTCAGTTTATTTTACGGAGCAGTGAGGACTACAGAGCAGTGCTTTGCCACCTCCAGTTTTTCCATGGAAAACTTAACCCAGCCGATACTTGGTTTGACATTTCATGGACTTCACTAAAATGCTCCTCGTAACCTCAAGAAGTCATAGTCTACAAGCCAAGCCTTGCATGTAAGATGTGTTTTGCTCCTTATAAAGGATACAAATTAGTTTCCCATGAAATATTATTTTCCTACTTCAAAACCTTCTACCTTTCAGGGTTTAAAAAAAATATTGACCTTTCAGAGCTGTCACATTTTTGGTTCTCGTTTTTGATGGGGACAAATATTTTTTTTTTTTTCATTTATTTGATATGGGTTGAACAAAATGTTTTCTGATTATTAAGGACGAAAAGAGCTTAAAAAGCACTAATCATGTTTAAATGCACTTGGACCTTCATGGATTGGCCTAAATAACAAAAATTTTTTAAATATGAAACAAGAAAAGGAAATCAGATCAGATTGTTGCTTAAACAAGCTGTAGGGGAATTGATTTGGGGATTCTGCTCTTCTATGCTGGTATCCTCAAATCATGTTCTAGCATTTAGTCTTTTCTCAGAGTCAATACTTGCTGAAAAATTATACTAAAAATGTTTAGGCATTAAAGAGCCCCACTCCACACTTGGCAGGACAGTGATAGTGTTCCATGGGGTAGCTCCTCTTGTAACAGCATGGTCCCTGCCCTCGTTGGTGATGCTGTTGTGTCTGAGGAGTGTATATGACCTTGTGAACAAAGAATTTGATCCCTCAAAATGGATACAAATCAGGCCTTGAGGCTTCAAAAGGGAAGCTTTCAAAAGGGAAGTTCAAAAGGGAACTGTTTTTCAGGTCTTTCCCCAGTATCCACTGCATTTCTGATGTGTGGAGATATCTCAAGCAATGCTTCGTGGTCCCACAAAGTCAGGGAAATCTCAGCAAGAGGCTGCCCATTAGAGAAGCCCTGTCAAGTTTAGAATTATTGGACTTCAATTTTCCTGCTTAGCTGGACTTTGATGCCTCTGCGTATTCCAATTTCCACTCACCCCTGAGCAGAACACTTAAGCCCTTAAAAATCCATACATGGAGGTGGTTTCTGCTTAATTTATATATGACTTTTGGTAGATACACCAGAATGAATGTTTTGGTCATGGTGAGGCTCCAGTATTACTCTCTTGAGATAGGTTAATCTTACCACAGGTCAGGTTTTCAGTCGAGCAGCTGACATCTGTAGAAATCTTTGCTGGATCCCATGTGCACTCCATCTCCATTGCTTCCTCATAGCATTTGCGGTGCTGGAAACAGCAGCTTAAAAACCGAAATAACTCAATAACTCAAAGTTCACACAGTTTCAGTTCAAGATCAGGCTGCAATGCTTTCGTGTCACTCTTACACAAGAATGCAAAAGATGCCAGAAGAGAAAAAGAGGTCCTTGGTGTGGTCCCGAGACACAAGAAAGGCTGAGTACTGCTTTTCGCAGAGTCAGTCTGCTGGGATAAGTACAGCCAGATGCAAAACTCAGTGGCAGGAACAGGTCTGTGTGCTGTGAAAGACCACACCTACAGCTCTGTCCTTCTACGGTACCGGAGTTCTTACAGCTCAGCTCTAGAGGTCTTGGCTCCAGCCCTGCCACAACTTTTCTCACTGCAGATTTGGAGAACTACACAGAACCCGGCACTCCAGGAGTGTTAATGCCTCTGCAACACCTTGTGAATCCCTGTGTCTCATTGAGACTATATAAATACATGCAGTGTTATCCTCTGTTTCTTGTGCTTCCTATTCTATGCAATAATCAGAGTGAAAATGCACCATTTCGCCGTGGGAAGGAGCCATGAAATATTTTGTCACACTGGAGTAAAGCAGATTTCTCCCAGCACCACACAACAAAGGCGGTTAGAAACCTGGCGTTTTCCTACACCCCTGCTGTCATGCAAACCCCAAATGCCTGCATGACCACTTTAGCTGTGAATAGCAATGAAAAGCCAACTAAAACAACAAGCCCTTCATCAGTCCCCGCTTTTCTCCAGCTGTTTTTGAACAGGCAAGCTACCTACGCCTATATTATAGCAACGTCTGCGTGCACTGACATCAGCTATAAATGAGAAACACCACTAAAACACTCAGTCAGCATTTACCCCATAGAAGATTGTTACATAAATTAAGCAGGGGCTTGCTGTTAGATTTAGACTGAAATACACTCATTTCAGAGAAGTGGACTCTGAACATGGGTCTGGTATTGAATTGCCATTGGTCTTGACCATGCCGAATGCAAAGACAGCATGAACACGCAAAACAAGCATCTGCTACCAGGCAGGGTTAGCTTGCGATCACGATGTAAGGAGTTAACCTTAATTAAGCTCACGATGGATTTTTGTTAAAGACACAGGGAATGTGTTGTTACACATCACCGGCAGCCCTGCGTACGTTCTGAACTCTATGGTGGACAGAAGAACTCCTGCACTGATCAGAGCAGGGAACAAACACCTGCCCCTTGCAGGCTCCTTTCTAGGCTATGCATTCACTTTCTCACTTCATATATTTAGGAAGCATTTAACATTTAATCACTTACTACGTGAATAAATAATCAGCACAATATTTAATATGTGCTCACAACCAGCGAAGCTGTCCAAGTCCTAACCGCGATCAGACTCTTGACCTGGTGAAAGACAGCAGCAGTGAGGTTTGCTCAGGTAGCCAGCAGAGGATCAAAGCTCATCGACAGCGTTAGCCCAGCTGATGAAGTTTCAAAGCTCAATTTCTCGCACTCCAGTGTCTCTGCTGCCTGTTACTGGTTTTGCTCCCTGCTTTAACCTGGACTGGGACACTGCAGGAAAGTACTGTACAAAGATGAAGGCAAATAGCATTCAGCAGAGAGGCCCTGATGGTTCCTCCACACCACAAATGCTACTGTGCCTTGTTGCAGAGGTCAAGCTGAAGTTTGTGAGCTCCATCAGAAGCAGGGTTTTAAACATACAGCTGATGAAATGTCTCAAGACACGCTCCTGTCTCTGCCTGGGTGTAGTGAGGTGTCAGCACCTGAAAGCTCCTCTAACTGCATAATTAGGTCTAATACATCCTCCCTGCAGTTCTTGTTTGTTTATAGCATCACAATTACATCAACACTTAATGCAACATTTAATTAGAAAATGTACTTGCCTTCTGTCTGTGAGCAGGGGATTGTAAGACATGGATGGCCCTCTGGGCACGCTTCTCTTTCCCCATGGACTATGGAGGTAGACTAGGCTCCTAATTTAGATATAACAATTAGCTAATCTGGGAAATGGGAAAAGGTTGGGCTTATGGGCACAAATATTTTCTAATGCCTTAAAAACCTACAGTTCAGCCTGTTTTTGTGGAACAGAAAAGGCAGTGACAAAATCTGAGGTTTGCAAAACCATTTTGCAATGCTGTGGGAACTGTGTCTGAAAAAGACAAATAGCAGCCACCTGTTTGGAGGCCTTCTTGAACCAAGGGCATATCTGTGTCGGTGGCAAAACAATAACCGGTCTCCATTTACTGCAAACTACACTGGGATTGGTGTGCTGCTAAGGAAACCTCACCGCAGGACTGCTAACCAATTTGTAAACACAAAGTGACTCTGTGGACGGTTCTCAGGACAAAACTGCTGATAGGTGGTTCTGCTGTTTCTATATTTATGCAGCTCAGCATCAAAACAAAGCTGAGTGAAGCAAAAGCCCAGGTGCTCAGCTCTTCGGGTATCAATCCATTGATCTGACTCGAGCTCTCGTTTCAGCGTGTCATCACAATTGTTCAGAAAACCTTTCATAAGAAGTCCCATGGCTTTCTTCCAGTAGCAGGGTTAGATCTTCATTTTCCCAGCCATGCCATTCTGGAAAGTGGATGGATTAATTTCCATCTAGCTATAGGCATTAGGCTGTTCTAAGCCTGTTTTCACTCGGGGAATTAATGCATTACATTACATTTTGGAAAAGCTTTTTTCTGTTTAGACATGGATGCATCTTGATTGACTTTGAATTTCTTTTCATGCCTCCTCCTGGCATAAGTGAACAACCATTCGATTGTCCTGTCCTGAGAGAAGATTTTTTCTCACCCGCCCAGTCAGGGTCTGGGCAGCATCCCTCCAAGGCACAGAAGGAAGTTCGAATGGTTTTCTTCCTGGTCCATAGTACTGGCAAGAGCCATTGAGCTCTTCTCTGTGCGTGGATGCTCCAGCAGCTTACAACATCTGCATGTACACAGGTATTCAGGGCAAGATCTACTTAACCTCCTAACTGCCACTTGAAGTCATACTGAGCTGTAACCTGATTCTGTTGATGCTTAAATCCCTCTCAGATGCCAACATTTTCATTATAGTCCACTATGAACTTACACTGCTGATGTATTACACAGCTCCCAACACCAAGAATTTGGAGAGATTGTAAACCCACTAAACTGCTCAGATTAATGCTCTCCCACTCACCTTATTAACAGGGCCTCCAGTTTTTGGAACCAATTTAAATGCGAGACAGAAATCCCCAGTACAAAGAAATGAATGAGGTTTTGTTCACATAAGTCTGTTCGGAATTCAGAGACCTCTGGGTAAGATATGTCAAGGAGATGGGTATGGTGTTAACTTATTCTGCTGCATTAGTGGCCACTCTTTGCAACCCGTTTAAACCTGCTGTGCCATCAGAGTTGCACTGGTGGAATGATATGCAGGTGTGGGGGACTCCACTTTCACCTGTAGGATGGGAGTAGTTCTCCACATTGAAGTGTGGGTAAATAGAGAGAGACTCCGAGCTATGAGAAAAAAGAAGCAAGTGGATCATCATGGGCTGTAGATTATCACTACCTCGATTTCATTTGTTTCCAAGTCATGCCATAAGGCAACTGTTATGGGGTGTTGGCCCAGCAAAAAGATAGTGCTCACCAGCAGGTAGGAGTAACACAAGACAGGGCTGATAAACCAGACAAAGTTATCTTTTGTAGGTCATATCAGATATTTATGTTGCAAGTGAGTGATGACGAGATTAAACAGAGCTGGGTAGTGTGGGACTTGCATACTCTTTGAATAAATCTTCTAATTTTTACAACTGTCCTGAAATCGTTTCGGCAAATGTTACACTTCAGGTCATCAGAGCATGAGGGTGCTGACAGCCAGTCAGGGCAGAAGAGGACATCTCATGGATATGACTTACTCATCAGCTTCATCCACGGGGAGCCCTTCCATCTCAAATCGGCAGGAGCAACCATAGTCTTCAAAATCCCTGGGACAGAAACCAGTAACACACTTCATTTTGTTCACAAAGTTGAGCAGAGCAGGGAAGTTAGTGAAGATAGACTGTAACCAGGTGAAGTGAGAACCCAGGCAGTCTGGAAATAGAACAGCCACAAAATGCATGGTAAACGGAGGTGAGCCAGGTGTGGGTCACCCATGGGTGACGTTCATGTGAATGCAGAGCCTTAGCAAGGCCATAACACAGGGACATTGAGCCATGCTGGACACTCAGCAGTATTTAGTATTATAATAGTCTTTGGGGAAATCTACAGCATCTAAAATGCCTGTTCATTTTCGGTATAGAGAAAAGCAAAATCCACGGGATTTCTGTTCAGTGCACTAGTACTACTGGAACACATACTTACCAAAAAATAATGCAACACTTTCCACATTTTGAAAGACTCCATTGAAGAAAGTGGCATTGTCTAAATGAAAAAAAATAAACAAACCACACTTCTTTTTAAAAAAATTAATGACAAGAACTGTCCCCAGACTGCCCCTGGTCATGCTTCAGTTGTTAAACCATTTTGAAATATGAGTTACCAGCTATTTGCTAACAGCACAATTCCCTGCAATGCTTCTGGAGTACGACTGGTTCCCCACTGCCATGCAACATTGCAGAAAGTAAAGCTTAAACCATTCTTACTCAAGATTCTTAGCAAACAAATTCGAGAAGAAAAAGATTAAAAAATAAAGAAAAAAAACAACAAAACAGAACATAACTTCATTATGACATCACAGGTATCCTTCCTAGACTAGCAAGCTGATTTATCAAAGCCATGAAACACTTACTTAGCTCCACTGGCACCCAGGAAAGCCCAGAAGCATACTGGCAAGTCACACAGACTTCAGCTTAAAAATCTCTCTTAGCCTTAGGTATTGCTAGTGAGGATGTGCTAACGCTTGTATTCCTGCGCTCTTCTGAACAGGGACACAGGGATAAATCAGTAGAATTGTATAAAATCATTTTAGTTTCCCAACTACTTTCATTGTCCCAAACGTTTCCACTCTGTAACCCTGTGCTCTTCACTTCTTTGAATTCAAGAGGTTTTGTTTCTGAGTCCTTATTGCCTATTGCTTGGTTGCCTCTCTTCCTATTACTATTTCTTTCTTATCTCTCTTTCCTTTTGAAGATGCTGTGGTATATCTTCCTCAGCATTATTTTTTTCCTGTTTCTCATGTCCTGAATTGGGGTGAAATCTAATACTTGTTTTCTCTCACTGTTTTTATCCCCTGTTCTTAGGTATTACTTTAGATTTATTTAAACTTGACTTTTTTTTTTTTTTAATAGTAAGTCAAGGGTATTTATTGGCTCAAGGATCTAAAAACTGAAGAAAAAAGTGCTGTTAAATTCATGGCATAGTTTATGTCTCAGAATATTTGACATCAGGAAAGCTGTCCATTTACTCTATGAAAGATTCTAGGAAGGAGCTGATAGTTATCTTTCTAAACTGTTGCATTTTCCTGCAGCAAATATAGATGTAAGAGAGTAAAACAGAGTAGTGGGTTTTTCAGATAGAAGGCTTAACTCTATGTTTAACAAAGGATTAGGAGAAAACAGGACTTATTCTTAGATCATATATAAGGGCCTTCTCAGGATGTCTGCATCTTTTGTGAACAAGATGTCCATGATGATGGTCGTATGCCTCCAGCAATTCATTTCTCAAGTTTATTGGCAGAATATGCATACGGGATTGGTATGGGATTGAGGGAGGTAGGAAGATGTGCTTCACAACGAAAAGCTTTTAGATGAACAGCAGTCCATCAGAAGTGTCCTTCATTGCAGCAGGTCTGAAGGGAATGGATGGCTTTCTGCAAACCAGGAAAGGTCTCCTAATAAAAGATGGCCCTTTCACAGAGCTGGAACAAGGCTGTTGAAAGCTTGACAGCCATGAGGAATTCAGTTTCAAGCAAAATAATGGTGTGCCTTGCAAAATAAATAGCACTGAATGCTACATATTTGTACACATGCTTGCTAAAAAGAAAAAACTGTCCCTCATTTTCTGGCTTAAAGCCTGTATTTCCTCTGCAATGACAAACACCCGTTCCCCAAGCTGTGTTCTATCAAGCACATATAGAGTCAGGTTTTGACATGCTGCATAACACCATGACTCAAACTCAGTGTCTGTGGATGAATAGCCATTGATAATTTAGTCCTTTCAGCAAAATTTTGAAAAACATGACAATCCCACAAGGCTGAAGTGAGACAGAGGAAAGAATTGATAAAGCCACATGACAGAACTGCTGGAAGTTGTGATTGCTCCAGCATCCTTCATTTGCACTTAGTTCTTCTCAGCAAACTTCATTTGCACACACTCAGTTAACACATAGATGTTTGAAGCTCCCCTGGAGAAAAATGTCTGCTACAGCGTCAGCAGCTTGGTAAACCTTTGGCTCTTCTAGTCCTTTAATTACTAAGAAGGACATTTCTAATTGTCACTAAGTCAAGATCGATGAGCCAATGTTTGCTAACAAGATTACTAAATTTTCTTTAAATTGCAGGGGGGGAGGGACAAAGAGAAAATACTTTCGCAATGAATTATTCTCTTTTCTTCTTTTGCTATCATATGATTTGGGGCTATTTGTCCTATGTCATTCCCTGTATAGCCAGTGAAAGATTACACTACAAAAATCAATCCTTTAAACCTCAGAAGACCCTGGAGAGGTCAACTTCTCTCGCCTCTCTAAAACTTGCTAAATGACTTGCCACCTGTCCTGAGGAGACTTGTCTGACATGTCAGCTCTTGGGCTTTCCAGTTGTGCAGCTTCTCCACAGAATTTCTTTCAACATTCAGATCCATGTAAAAATGTTTCTGGACTGTATCTGTGTTGTTGCTACTCTGACAATGCTTTTCTGAAGTGTATTCTGAAAAAAGCCCGTCAAAACAACATTAATGCACCTCCAGTTGTTTTTTGCAATTCTGGCTAATTAAAATGTTGTCATATGGACACAGTCATTATAATCCTTGGGGAGCAGAAAATTTGACTGTGCCAGGAAAAGTCAGAGTGCAGCAAACCCAACCTATTTAATTTATTCAAGGTAAATCGCATTAGCTCCTCACAAATGCTAGTTGATGCACAGATATTTGCTTTAATATTAAAGCAGAGATCAGCAGAATAGATCCCACACAAATATAAACCAATAATCCTCTCCAAACCTGAAAATTGGTAACATTTTAAATCTTTGTGCTCAGATTGTACTTAGCTGGGGGAAAAGAATCTAAAAACTGTGGCCTTCTGAGGTTTGGGGGGAAATCTCTGTTAAATGTGATGTCAGAAAAATTTCTGAGCATCCAGATATTTCTAAGTGCACTAGATATTATCAATATATATAGTGCCCTTTACATCTGAGGACTAAATACCCCTTTATTTTTTATGAATAAACAGTGTAGGTATTTTGGCATTCTATCACTGAAGTGGGAAATTCTAATATTCTTACTGATTTCTATTTGTATAGTAGGAGTTTTAAGGGTCATCATCATTGATATATTTTAGCCCATGTGTTTTGTGTTAGAGATGTTTCTTTAATGACTTCTAACGCGTGCAGCCCCTTAGCAAAGAGGCAACTGGTGAAGTTGAAGTAGTTCAGTGCAGAATTTTGTCTAAGCCAAGGTGCCGAACTGTCTTTTCCCTTTAGAAATAACTCCATGGAACGACCAGAAAAGGTGTTAGACCTGCTAAGAGCTCTTCTTTTCACCTGCACACTGCTACACTTCGTGACATTCCTACACAGCGCAGGGACTGCAGAAATTTGAAATGTTTGCCCATGGCTGTCATGGGGAAGCTCATTCACACACGACAATATAATCTGCAGAGTTATATGAAGAAAAAAAAAACAACTATTCATTGTAAAATTTGGAGGAGGAGCTTTAGTTGAACAGGAGTTATATGTCAGAATGCGCTGATGGTTTGGAGAATTTAGACAATACAGATGTATTTAATGAGTAGAATCTCCTTATAAGTAACTTGTAACTTACAGTCTAAGGGATTTAAATAATGACCAAATGCTAGCAGAAGGGAAGTTGCAGTTTTTTGGTCATATTTTTAAGCCCACTAAATGTTTCTTGCTTCACTACAAGTCCAGAGAAAAAGATGTTTCATAAGTATGCAATAGATAAACTTATTTGATTTGGGTGTTCAATAACTAGGTTTGAGGGGACAGAAGGAGTGCTTCTGAAGAATTATTTCCAAATGCACATGCTTAAATTAGTATTCAGGCATAAATGTCAAATGATGATAAAAATACATTGACACTTACCGCTGTACAACACCATTGACATAGACACCAGCAGAATTACAAACATTTCTAGTTTAAGCCAAAGACAAGAAGTCGTACAGCAGACTGGTATGCCTGTTGAGTTAAATAAGATATTAGGCAGAACATTAACTCTTGCATCTGGGAGTGGGAAGACATCAGCTTAGAAAATCATTCTTTTGTAACCTGACCAGATTTCTGCTTGATGCAATTCATTTTTTACCCTTGTCATAGTAAATGCATGTATTACAGCAATGCTGAGGCTTATGTATCCCTCAGATTTTACCAATATCCTCTATAAACCTGACTAATAATATTTATTTTGGTATTGTTTTAGGTGAGTCCACAGGCTCTGCCAAAGTACCATAGACAAGGAAAGTCCATTTAGCAACAAAATGGTGTACTTCAAATTTTGTTTGTTTTGCAAACGGTTTTCACATCTTACTTGATCTAACAGCACATTTGAACAATTCTTCACATTATATTTGGATGCAGATATTGTGAAATTCCATGTAAACGAAAAGACATTCTGGGATTACTTCTATTGAACAGAGTTAATCTGCAATCCATGATATTAGTTTGATTCAAATCACAAAAATGACTCTTACTTCATAGTCAAACATTTACTTTAACCTGTGTTGAGACTGATCTAATATGTCATATATTTTCCAAATGACAAACACTATATTGTTCGGAGATCTCCAAGTTCTAGGTGTGCTTGTCCTTGCAGAAAGGTGTGTGAAGAATTCTTCTGAAGCTAAAATCCTTGCACTAGTATTCATTAAATGACAGGTAATAGATTGGTTTTGAACAACAGTCACCTGTTAGTTACCCTAAATTTAGAAAGACTTTCAAAGTATGGAGTATGAAGTTTTTTAGCACCAAATAAATTAATATTTATTTATCAGTTTTGCAATATGTATCTACTGTTGATTATCTGCTCCCCTAAGGTCAAATATAGCATTCATTTGTATTGAAAAATCTTGTAATATTTCATGAGGAAGTGAAGTTATGAACCTAACAGCTTTAAATATTTAAAGTCTGCTATCCCAAATCTCTTACCTACACTTTAGTCTACAACTCCACAGTCCCAAACAGCTTATTCTACTTTATTTTCCTCCTGATTCCTGTATTATAGAGTAGATCTAGAAAGGCTTACCTTGAGGAATATTATTCGAAAGCAGTTGAATGGAGGATAAATGGATTTCAACAAAGTCAGTACTAAGTTATTTATACCCACTTGGATATATACCTCACCCATGTGATCCCTTCCTTTATCAAACCCACTTCAACATTTATTAATTAATTCTTCCAAGAGATTCCTTAGAGTCATTATGCCTGCAGTGTATCTTAGTAATATAGCTCCAGCCATGTAAAGGACCTATACTGAGAAGTCTGTTCTGCAGGAGCATTCACCCTATGGTAACTTTCCCTAATACTCTTGGCTGTAATTAAATAACAATCATCTCATTGTTATTAATCACTTACAAAATCTCTAGGGCATGTGAATATGGCTTTAATAGCTTACAAGAGGTAGTGTTCAGTGATGAAAGATGAGTGAAAATTTATACAGCTTTAAACACTGGCATTCCTCAGGTTTGATAAGGCTGCTCTCATCTATCTGCGGTGGCTCCGATTCAAAGCTGAGTGAAATCCAGGGGAAGGTTAAGTCAATGAGCTTTGGGAAGGCTTCTTCTCATTGGGAAGGTGTGCTTTCTGCCAGGGTCAGACACAGCTACCCTTCAAAGATATCATCAACAAAGGCAAACTATCCACTGAGTTTTAGCATGGAGAAGTGATGTCTGACATATTTGGAACTGTAAAAATACAGAACAAAAGTCTTGGCTCCTCCACGGCCCTGTGAACTACATTGTCTTCTGAAAGGCCTTTGACACCGTCTCACATAAGACCTTCATAGAGAAGCTGTTGCTACATGGGCTGGATGAGCCCAGTGAGGTGGGTTGAAAACTGGGTGGCGGGGCCCAGAGGGTGGTGGTCAGTGGCGTAAAGATTGGTTGGTGGCCAGTGACTAATAGTGTGCACCAGCAGTCAAGTGTCAAGTCTTGCTTAATATCTTCATTAATGATCTGGATGCTGGGCAGAGAGTCCCCTCAGCAAATTTGCAGCTGGCATGAACTGGGAGGAGGGGCTGATACACCAGAGGGTCATGCTGTCATCCAAAGGGACCATGACAGGCTGGAGAAATGGGCCAACAGAAGCTTCATGAAGTTCAACAAGAAGAGCAAAGTCCTGCACCTGGGGAGTTACAACCCAGTGTGCCAATATATACTGGGGACCACCCATCTGGAAAGCAGCTTGGCAGAAAAAGACCTGGGGTCCTCGTGGGCACCAAGTAGAACTTGAATAAGCAGTGTGCCCTTGCAGCAAAGAAGGCTAAGGGTATCCTCGGCTGGATCAGGCAAAGTATCGCCAGCAGATCGAAGGAGTGGATCCTTCCCCTCTACTCACCACCGGTGAGGCTGCACCTGGAGTACTGTGTCCAGTTTTGGGCTCCGTGGTAGGACACAGACATGGACAAACTTGAGACAGTCCAAAGCAGGGCCACAAAGATGATTAAGGGACTAGAACATCTCTCATATGAGGAGGGGCTGAGAGAGCTGGGACTGTTCAACCTAGAGGAGGCTGAGGGGAATCTCATCAATGTCTAGAAATACATGAAGAGAGGGTGAAAAGAGGACAGAGCCAGACTGTGTTCAGGGATGCCCAGGGATGTGAAAAGAGGCAGTGGGTACAAACCGAAACACAGCAGGTTCCCTCTGAACATCAGGAATCACTTCTTTACTGTGAGGGTGACCGAGCACTGGCACAGGTTGCCCAGAGAGGCTGTGGAGTCTCCCTCCCTGTCTCCTCTTTTGTAGATATTCCAAAGCCACCTGGACATGGTCCTGGGCAACTGCCTCTAGGCGGCCCTGCTTGGATGGGCCAGGAGGTAGACCAGATGACATCCTGACATCCCTTCCAGCCTCAACCATTCTGTGATCCTATACCCATTCAGTACTGACATGTTGCCAGTCACACCATTTCTGTGACCAACCCTATCAAGGAACTTTACAGAAGGGTGAAACGTGGGAGAAATTATGCCTTAATGGTAGGAAAATTCATTTTCATGTGACTTTTGGTGCTTCCAGTTGGAGTCTCCTGGGATTGCCCAAAATGCATTTTTACTGCCTTGATGGACATTTTCAGCCTGACAAATCAGAATGAGCTTGACTGGGCATAATAATAAACACGAGCCCTCTGAGATATTGATTTGCCCATATGCCGCCAACATTTCTGTACTTCTACCAAACATGCCCAGAGGCTTTGCAGGAATGAAAACCTTGGCATATGAAAAATCTTTTATTTTTTTTGAGGGCAGCCAAAGTCTTCACATTTTTCACGGAGCCTTGCTTTTTCATTCCTTCTCTTTTTTTCTGTAGCTTTTCTCTTTAATTTTCATTATTCTCATGGGAAAGCCGAACAGTAAGTCTTAAAACAACTATGACAAGAAGGTTGCCATTCAGGACAGGTGCCGTTAATCTATTCTCAGCTCCTTCCACAAGACACCCATAGCTGTGTGGCACCTTCTAATTCTCTCCCCATGAACATGCTTGAGCTGTAGATCTCAGCCCTTTCCAAGACCATAGAGTGGAGACAGCTGTGACCTACCCCCAGTGCCAGGCACAGCCTATCATGCTATAGAGAGGTTAGCACTCTGTCCAAGAACCTGTGTTCCTGCAGGAAAAACACAGAAGAATTTATTATAAACACGAAAGTGTCCTTTAGCATGGAGATCAGAGTCGATTAAATTCATTAAAATAATAACAAAGCAATGTTTTTGAAGGGGAGCCTTTCCAAAACTGTTTTTCTGTTGATGTCAGTCTTGTTATTCAAAACTAAAAAAACCCAGATAGTCAAACTGACTTTAATAATTGTTTTCTCCCTTTATGTTCTTGTTTTCTTGTCCTTCTTCCTGAGTCCTCAGAAAACTTACTGATAAAAATTCAAGAAACAATATAGATTTTTTGTTTCTAAATCATGTCTTCAGGCTTTAAGATGTTTTTATGAGATTTAAAAGCTACAGTTGCACAGAGGTGTCATTCACTCAGGTCTTCACAGTGGAACAGATCCTGCCTTGGGTAAGGAGAGGTGCTGTAAAGCGAGACCTCTCCACATCATTGAAGTACTGGGGTCATGTTAATATTCCCAGTGTATACATTCACTGTATCGACATTCCTATTTCTTCCATGGGCCCAACTTTCAATATCAACTGTAATCAGTACTACACCCATCTGTCCTGCTCTTTGATATGACAGGAATGCTTCCGTCATGCCACTGGGCACAACAGTGAAGTATTTTGGGAAGGGGCTACTGCATCCCCCCTCTCCCTGCAGGCAGCATTGCTTAAGGTGTTACCTTTCTCTTTGTGAACACATATTTCTTCAGTGAAATATCAATGTGCACTACTTATAGCTCAAATAATCTTTTTTTAAATATTAATGGCTTGATGATGTACTTTGTGTTGATAGTAGCAGCATATTGCCGCAGTATAGCAAAATATAGGATCTTGCAATTTCTTTGGTAATTTTTTCATTTTTTAGAACTGGCTTTTAGTTCACCAGCGTTGCATATAAGGAAGGATATGATTCTTGATGAGCTCAGACAAATATATCACAGAGTGAGAGTACAAAAGATGTGAACAATTTCTTGGTCAAGCTCTACACTAGATGAGTTGCTGAAGTAAAGGGAAACTCTTGATTTGGAATAATGGATAATCTGCATGTGTTTAACATCAGGAAAAATCCTTCTTGTCTTCAGTATTTCGGGTTGCTTGTAAATTATTTTATATGTGTTCATTTTTATTACTTTATCTTAATTATAAATAAAACTAGAATAAACTATTTGCATTCACTAGCCAACCATATAAATAACCTTACAAAATACAATTTTTAAAAGCTTTTCAATGTTTTTATTGCAGTTACATCACTGGTATAAAATACATCTGTTTTTACACATTAGTTTTACAATGCCTTGGAAGAAGACACATTTCTAGGTTAACATCTGGTTAATAGCTTGTCTTGTTACAAATATTTGTAAATAACATGTTGCATCCAGACTTCTACACCGAGAAATGAAAGAGACAACTAAAACTGCCACCAATCTTCCAATTTGCAGTAAAATTCCTCAGTGCTCTAGACCGACGTACAGATGTTTTTAAGGCATTTTTGTTTTAATGCTGGAAGAACATAAGAAAACAGCCATCATAAGAGGTTTTACGAGGAAAATATTAAAAACATATATGAAGATTAAATAACCTTTTTTTTCCATGCCTTAAAAAATTGTTATCAGATAAAGCAGCTCTCTGATGAAAGACAGCAAATACTCTGTGGATATCTAAAACACTTTGTTATAACTTCATAAGAATGTATGTAGAGATATAAAGAGAAAACACACTTACTGTGGGAATAAGCAACTCTTTTGACTTTTTCACAGATATAACTTGCATTTTTCAAGAACCAGGAATAGTATTCCACACAGTACCTAAAGGTATACTTAAAGTTAGGAGAGTAGTAGCTTATTATCTTTCATAAACACAACAGTACGCACATCATAGCGCTAATATTGAATATGGAAGTAAAAAGCTAGACTCTGACCTCAACGATGTCATTAGATATTTGGAAAAATTCAGCTGAGCTGTATTCACTTAGTTTGAGTACTGGAAGCCAGATCGGGTATTGATCGTTGCACTGGTGACCCACTGGGGTCTCAACCGGTAGCCCCAGACTCTCAAAAATAAGCAGTGGTGATTGAAAATTGTCATTTGAAAGAAGCTCAGTAGAGTATTTTAAGCAGAGAGAGAGAGAAACTAGTGCCAGGTTTTACCTCATGGCTTCCTTTCTGGAATGTCTTCTCTGACCAACACAGAGGCACAGCTGAAAAAACCTACACAGCTCCATCACACAGGGATTGATCTTTTGCACTACAAGAGTGGCAGGAGGTGAGGTCACATGGGACGCTTTGAGGATTGCCTGCGGACACCCTAGGAAAAAATACAGCTCTGAGCTAGTTCAAGTACTTGTCCCATTAAATTTCTTGCACGGCCTTATCTGGGCTATGACAAACATTCGGATTAATAAGCTCATGCAGGTATCTTAAAATCAAGTCTGAGTGAGGCAGATAATTAAAAAGAAAACAGCACATAGCCTGGAAGTTGCTTGAGTGAAAGCGCAAGTACTCAGTTCAATTTATTGTTGTTTAACATTACTGGTTAGTTACTTAAAACCACGTTGCTTTTATTTATCACAAAAGTAAGGAAAAACTCTAAAGATGTAATTTATTTGTACTTACCTGTTTAGGTAGATGTTCAGTCACCACTGAAGCATCAGTTTTCCACAGTGAAAAACAGCAAGACAAAGAACAGCACTGTACACTTATTATATTTGATATTTTCTATGTGCATATGCTACTTTAATGAAAAATTCACTTCCAGTTCTGCTTGCTTACCTACACCCACCTTCTAAATTGGAATCCTAGATTAAATATGACTGAACTAATAAACAGACTCTCACTGCTCTCTCCGTCACTTTTTTTAGCCTGATTAACAAAATAAACATGATTTATGCAGAAGTTATTGCTTTCCCTCTATCCATCTCTCTGTCTGTCAGTTTTCCCCTTCTTGCTTGTAGTGACTTGAATAATCAGCTAATTTCAGCTCATCGTTTATGGATGGGTAAAGACCCTCTGGATAAATACATCCCTACAGGTGTCATGAAAACTGACAAGTAACTGCAGGAGAAAAGCCAATTTTTGCCTGCACTGAGGGGAAGGTAGGAATAATTTCTCTATTTTACTATTTGTTCACTAGGAGCCAGCTGGTTAATCAGTGTTTTTTCCTTCAAGTGATGGCCGTTATATTACTTTAACTTAAGAAAAATGGAAGGAAATGGCCTACCTGGAGACTGACTCCCTCTTCCTCTGTCTTGAGCCAACTAAAAGTAAAATATCTAGTTTACTCTGTTCATTGAATATTCTGCAGCCAGCAGCAAGAAATAAATGTTTGCACACCAAACATTCCATCCTGCAAGCAAATGCAGCTGTGCCAGACTGCAGAAGAAAACAAGGCTACAGAATAGGTGATGGCAGCTTATAACAAAATCCTGAACTGCTGCAGGGTTTGTCAGTGTCAAACACAATCTCTCTTCAGACTCCCTTTCTGTTATAGGAAAGAGAAAAGAAGTCAAGGTGAAAATGGGGGGAAAGGAGAAAAGGTAAGGCAAAATTGAAGCTATTTTCAAATTTTCAGGACTTTTCTTTATCGTATTAAGAGAAAAACCTAACATTTGTCATAGTCTTGACTTCTCCAGTCTATTACCTGTCACACATCATCTTGCACCTCAGCTACCTGTTGTGCTGTGATGGGTCAGAATCAAAGGAGTGGCTAGAAAAAAACCTTGCAATATTTGCAATATGCTAAAAGCCTACCAGGGCATGGCTAAAATAGGTGTGTAACCACCTTTACTCTGCATATTTGATAACGGTGCTCTGCAGAAGAGATGCTGTGTGTGAGGGCACACTGGGTCGCGGCAGTGAGGCTGCCCGCCCTGCAAGGCATCCCATCTGACCCTGGGGACCTGCATGCACGCACCCCATGCTGTCCCCTGCAGACAACAATCATGCCAGAAGGATGACTCCCCTACACCAGCACTCCGGAAAATAAGGGCCATCCCTGCAAATGCCACATTGGGGTTCTGAAAAGATAACTGGGGAGCAGACTGTGAGAGGGAACATTTTGCATGATGTGGGTGTCCCCCTCACACGCCTGCGGTGGAAGAGCCCAATAGTGCAGAGCGAAGGAGGCTGCAGTGTGGTTGTCAACTGGTTTTTCCATTTGTGTAACTAGCAGCAGGCTTTGGCCACGTGTGGATAAACTGCCTTACCTGCAGAGTATAATCCCCTTAGACAGCATAATTGCATTTCCAGGTTCAGATGTCTCACGTGCTTTATAGCTTTGGGCCAGCTTATGTTATGCGATAGGAGAGGTTACAGAGGTTAAATTTGGACTAATGAAATTCTGTTGAAATAAGTTTGAGCCATCTAGTGCTGACAAGAAGTTTAATATGAAATGGCATTCATGGGCAGGAGGAAAATAAAAGCTCTGCCAACCTGAAAGAGAACACTGTGAAACTATTCCTCTTCTGTGAGCGCTTGCCCAAGGTAGCAGGAGTCGTGGAGGAGTAACAGGCAGCCACTTGCAGCTCCCAAAGTCACGAGCACCTCTGAAAACTGGTTGTGTGTCAAAGGCACTACACAAATAGCAGAGTAATAGGGGTGAGCAAGAGGGAGACCCACTTCTCTTTCTCTTTGCAGTTTTGCATAAATGTCATTAGGCTGTGTCCGCCTAATAGCATTTGACACACCTTGAACTTTTTCCACTCGATGGCAGCAAAAATTATTTCTAGCTTTAATAAACATTCTTCATGTTAATAACCGAACAACAGAGCATGAGGCAATGAGGTTTTAATATAAGTTGTCCATGAAAAGTAGTGTTAGAATTGCTGTGAATGATTAAAGCTTGCTCAAGTCCACCCTCCAACAAATCTCAGTCTCCACCAAAGCAGGTGCTCGCTATCCTGCCTAACAGGTGTTAAATGTTTACTCAGGCTAAGTGTTTTGCCAGCAGAAATTCAGCTTCACCTAAATGTAAACTGAATGACTGCAATTTCAATGTGGATTCATCTATGTGGGAAAGACAAGTCAAACAAAAAACCTGAAAGTTAAATAAATTGCTTTGGTTTTTATTTTTTACAATTTTAAATTAGTGTTGCTTTGTATAATACTGTATTTAATGCTGAAATTCTCTTTCAATTAATGTTGTATTTAATTATATTTTGCTTGGATAATATATTCACATCTTATTGTTGAAATTAAAATTTTCAGTACTTCGTGTAATGTTTTGTATCTCTTCTGTAATAAATTTATTCTGTGAAATGTATTTTTTGTATTTGATTCATAAGCTCCTACGGATTTGGACTGAAATTTAAAAAATAATTCAAAGTAGGAATTTATTTTAGAACTTTTTTTTCTAAGAATTATCTTTCCTAATTGAGGAAACTAAGTCAGTCAAAAGAGACCAGAAAATGCAGGAACCACAGCTCTCAGTGCAAAGCTCTGCTTTTGTCTATTTGAAATTACCACATTACTGTCACGGGCAGAGGAGTGACCAATTTTTGCTGTAGTAAACAGACTTCTCCATTATTAACTCAATATTGCATCTCTTTGACACTGAGATTAAATTTTGTTGCCAGTAAAAAGCAATATTATGGCTACTGTGAATGAATCTGACTTACACTATCCCTCCCTGCATGCTCGAATATGCACATTTGCATAATTTATCAGTTGGCATTCACTTTTGTGATTTAAGAAATGACTTCTCGGAATGATGTCTCAGTCTTCAGAGCATTGTGGATGTCTTTCATTTCTTTGAGATCCCACTGTTTGATTTCTT